TTCTTTTTCCTTATAATTAGCAGTTTTTTTGTTTGTATTTTTGAACGTTGGAGGAGTGAAAATTTATACACACAAATGCTATAAACATATGCAAAAAATTGCACTATTGTATGACTATTCTTTGCAACTACCGAAACGTGCAATTTAGTGCAAAGTTGTGTGCATTTGCTTTTATTTTCTTTTTTCTTAAAGGGTAATATCAATGTCACAAATGCATTATCTCTTATAAAACTTCATTATTTTGATTTTTTTCTTCTTTTAGGTAATACCAATGCTACTAATTAATTATTTTTTAGAAAGCTTATTTTAATACAAAAATCCCCTTTTACATGCTTATTCTTGAATATTTTTAAAAACGTCCTTTTGTGCAAATTCTATTTTTATTTTATTTTATTACTTCTTAAAGGGTAATACCAACGTCACTAGTTCCTTCTTCCTTCCAAAATCTCATTGTTTTTATTTCTTCCGTTTTTTCTTCTTTAATAGTAATACCTGGCACTAATTCATAGTACATTCTTAGGAAAGTTCCTTTTTGTGAAAATTCCACTACCATATGTTTATTCTGCATATTATAATTTGTTTTATTATCATTTTTATTTTATTTTTCTTAAGAAGTAATACCAACACTAATTCCTTCTTCCTTCAAAAATCTAACTTTTTTTTCTTTTTTCTTTTTCTTTATTCTTTAATGGTAATACCAATGCAACTAATTCATACTTATATGAAAATTCCTTGTTGTGAAAATTTCACTATTATTTGTTTATTTTGGCATATTATTAAAAAAGAATAATTTTTTTGTAAATTATGTGTTAGTTTTATCACTACTTGTTTTATTATAATTTTTTATTTTCTTTCTTCTTAAAGAGCAATACCAACACCACTAATTCCTTCGAAGTCCTCACTATTTTCTTGTTTTTTTCCTTTTCATGATATTGTTTATTCTTTAATGGTAAAACCAATGCAACTAATTGATACTTCTTATGAAACTTCATTTTTGTAAAAATTTCCCTATTATATGTTTATTCTTTCATATTATAAAATTGCGCAATTTTTGTGTAAATCATGTGTAAGTTTTGTCATTATTTTCTTTCTTTCATATTGTAACATACCACTAACTCATTTCTTTCTTTAAAAAACGTCATTATTATGATTTTCTTTTACTTTTATTTCATTTTATTTCTTATTAAAGGGTAATACCAAAGCCAAAAATTCATTTTTTTCTTAGAAAAAATCATTATTTTGATTTTGATTTTGTTTTTGTTTCATTTTATTTCTTTTTAAATGGGTAATAGCACTGCCAATAATTCATTCTTTCTTTGAAAATTTTGTTTTTTATTTTTATTTTGTTTTTATTTCATTTTCTTTCTTCTTTAATGAAAGACCAAGGTCACTAATTCGTACCTTCTTAGATACTTCTCCTTGTGAGAGTTTCACTATTGTACATTTATTGTTGGTTATTATAAAAAGCAAATTTTTGGTGGGAATTTTGCACAAATTTTGTTGTTATTTGTTTTCATTTTTTAATTTCTCTCTTCTTAAAGGTATACCAGTGTCACTACTTCATTCTTCCTCATAAAACTTCATTATTTTTATTTTTATGTTCTTTTATTTCTTCCTTAAGGTCAATACCAACGACAATAATTCATTTCTCATTGGAGTTTTAAAATTCACTATGAGAGATGATTTTTCTAACATATATTAATAAAGCATAATTTTTGTGTATATCGTGTGCATATTTTGTTGTTGTTTGTTTTAGATCTTTTATTTTATTTTATTTCTTCTTAAAGTGTAAGAACAGTACCATTAATTCATCCTTTCTTACAAAACTTTATTACTATTTTTTTAGTTTTTATTTCATTTTCTTTCTTCCTAGAGGGTAATACCAAAGCCGCTTATCATTTCTGTTAGTAAACTTCAATACTTTGATTTTATATTTGTTTTTATTTCATTTCCTTTCTTCCGTAACAAGTTTGGGTTAGTCGATTCAAATATTTAGCTAGCACCGAACCAGGGGAGGCAATGGACAAGCGTACGTGTACTTTCAGTCACATGCAAAAAATATAATACTCTATTTTTTACAAATAATCGCGTGCAGTACTTGAGATGCATGCATGCCTTTGAAGGCTCTGTCCTCCTATCTGAAAGAAAAAGAAGGAAGGAGATAGCTAAGCTAGTAGTGTTTTTTTTAGTTCATCTAAGCTAGTAGTGTTGGTGTACGTAAAGTGCTGTATGTATGTAGTTTGTGGTACCCTGCTACGTGCACTACGAATTAGCAACGCGTGTATCCTATTATCTCGTCCCTGTTTTCCTCTCGTCCCTGCCGGCTGGAACCCTAGCCGTCCCCAGGGGAGGCTGATCTTCCAACGCCGCTCTTCGGCGGCTCCCCTCCGCCGGCGACCTCGGTCGTCGGTGATGAGGGGGGTCACCGGATTCACGCATGTGGATCATTTTTACTCTCTTGTAGTCTAGGTTTTTAGGTTGTTCATCGTCTTTGCTTTGGCGGCGACGATGAAAAAGCTGAATAAAGATTCTTCGGATCCTTCCCTGACGAGGCCATGGGTCCTATGGTTGGGGATGGATTTGGAAACCAGTCTGTTCAAGTAAGGATGGCGTGGCGACGGAGGCAACCTCGTGGTGGACCTATGTCCTCGGGTTCCGCCGTTGCCACGGCGTTTGCTCCAGCGTCGGCGCGGAGCTTGGGAGGTAGTCCAGGAGCGGATGCAGATTGTGGTCTGCATCGACGACATCTGGAAGACGGAGCATGTGCTGGGCTCGTGGTTCATGGATGGCAGTTATGGTTTCCTCCTTCTGTGTTTTAGTCGTGGTGGAGTGCTAGATCTGAAGTTCGATGGCGTGTCCGGGGTGTTGCCCCGGTCTGACTCGTTCAACGGTAAAGGCTTCACTTTTGGTGAGCCACCTTGGAGGTCTGCAAAGCTGTATATCAGCGATGGAGCCGCGTCGAGCTCGGGTGAGAAGGTGATTCGTCATTCTTTTCTTCGATGGCTACTGTGGTGATGCCAGAGGCAGGTGACGGGCGTTGGTGTTAAGCTCAGAAATGTTCTGTTATCTTTTCAGTTTTGTCATGCCGGTCTTTACGTGACTTGTAGTTTGTTCTTTATGAGATAAATGAGACACGTATTACCATGAAAAAAAAGCATCGCATACGAATTCATGGAACCGAATTGAATCGCGTGTGGACACCGGCTAGGCTAACCAGCTCGCCTTAATTTTTTTTACGTGCGATCGACTTCCACATACTTATGTTTTTTGTTCCATGGCTGGCTCCACGTAGCAATCGCCCCTGAGCCTGTCAGCTAGGCGCAAGTTGACTGAAACAAATTGTGGTCAGTCAACTGACCGAAATTTTGTTTTTAGTCAACTTACCTCTAGCCGATCCCATACATTCTGAGGGAAGACAAACAATATACATTTAGCAGACACCGAATAATAAGATAAAGCAGACAAGTTCACATAGAATTCCCTGGCCGGTAATTGGCATCAATTTGTGAATTTGAGCTCCCACAAATCCCAAGGAATATAACCAAGAGGATCCTTTTAATTAATACAAATAATCCAACTGTTGGCGTGAAGGACTAACATGACTTATAACTAATAGGAGACTCTTTGTGTTTTATTTAGTGTAGTATACGGTAGGAGAAGGGCATACCCTTGGTACAGAATGAGACATTAATTTATGCGTGCGTTATTAGGCCGGCCGTCATCTAGAAAAACTTGTTGATCACACAACCCCACGGAACCGCAGCAGATAATGGATGTTTGTGATGAGCGTTGCCAGCAGGCATCGGCAGTCGAACAGAGATTTTGTTGGATGGCCCAACCCTTCCAATTTTCATGGAAGTAGCCATACTGGAGCGTGTGCCCCAGGACTTCATGGCCATGCCATACCCAAACACGTCCTTGAACGGCGTCGTGGGCACGCCAAGCACCATACGATTACCAGGCGACGAGTTGGGCTGCTGGTTTATGAACTCCACGATGCTCCCCATGAGCCTCTTGCTGGTGGGCCTCAGCGGACTGTAGAGGTGGAAGCCGTGGTCCTCGCCCTCCGACTCCTCCACCGTCACCTCGCGGCGCCCCTGCATCATCCAAGGCCACGGCGCGTCGTGATCAAGCATGCTGGCCGCCATGTCGAGGCCGCGCTCCCGCAGAGTATCCTTGCCGGCAACCGCGATGAGCACGCGGCGGCAAGCCAGCGATGAGATCTCCGAGGCCGGAGGATCGATTCGGGGGTCGTCGTTGCCGGCCTGGCCGGCCGTGACGAATGGCCACAGCCGGTCCACCCCGTACGGTGGGAACACCGCCGCGACACCCTCGCTGTCGTCCGCCCACGCGAGCTCCGAGGGCAGCCGCTTGGCTCCCCAGAAGTAAGGGTGCACCATGATCAGGCCCGCAATGTTCATCATGTCGTCGTTGACTTCGTGGCTGGCGCGGACTGCGGTCTGGTAAACGATGTTGCCGCCGGCGCTGTCGCCGGCCAGGAACGTGCGTGCAGTGTCGGCGTAGCTGGCCAGCCACGGGTCGGACAAGGACGCCGCCCACTGGAGCGCGGCCCACGCGTCGTCGTAAGCCGCAGGTATGGGGAACTCCGGCGCTAGACGGTACTCCACCGACACGACGAGGGCTCCGGCGCTGGCGGCGAGGGAGGTCGCGTAGCGGTGGTACGTCCGGCCGAAAGCGCTCTCCGTGCAGAACGAGCCGCCATGGACGTAGATGACGAGGGGAAGCCGGTTCCTGCCTGCGGTGTCGGCGGCACGCGACGGGAGGAACAGCCGAACAGACACGCCGGTGGCCTTGTCGACGACGACGTCCTTCGTGGCCACCCCGCGGTTGCCGCCCTGATCCGGCGACGCCACCACGAATGGACTGCGTAGGAAACGCTCGATGCTGCCGTCCTTGTACTTGCGTATGAACGGGTACATGTCAACAGAGATGTTACGACCGTCCTTCTGATTCGCTAGAGAAGTCTTGTTTGCAGGCATTGCGCAGTTAAGCTGCTTTACTTTGGGACTCTCGTTTCGAATTGTGCCGCTGCCGCGTCGTTGGCAGCGGAATTTATAGAGCGATTTTCTTCAGGGACCTGCTACGCGTGGGCCGGCGGTTCGTTCCATTATGTGACTTAAGCTGTCAGTTCTTTTACTCTAATTTCTTGCAAGGACACACTGGTTGCAAAACTTTCTCTTCTCTAATTTCCTGCAACAAGACCTTTATTGTGAAACCTATTCTTCAATCTCTGTTGCAAAATCTCTTCTTCTCTAATTTTCCGTAACAAGACACTTGTTGCAAAAATTGCAAACACATTTCCCACTGCGTCTTATTTTAATCTTCTGTAACAAGACCTTTGTTTCAAAAATTGCAACATCTCCGGCCGCATCGCGCACTAACACTGTCGTCTTTAATTGGCGCTGTTCCGCAACAACATTGTTGTTTCAGAACTTGGAGTGGACATGGAAGTCCGGTGTGGTGACGTGGCAGCTGCTAGCGCTGGTGGTGCCGGAACGGCGGTGAGGTTGTTGGTGCTCCACACCCGCGTGGCCGATCTCGCCGAGAGTCGTTTGGTGGCGGAGATCTGGTATGGATGTGCTCACGATGACGACCTACTGGCAAGAGGGCTTAGCTTGGCTGCTGGTCGCTACTGCTCGGTTTGCAAAAGACCATTTGTTTCGGTGAGGCCAACTGAAACAACGGGTGTGTTGTAAGAACTGTAACAGGATACAGATTGCTTTCGAGTCGTTCGATCCAAATCAAATCCGACGGCTACGGAGAAGGTGGAGGCACACATAAACATCCGCCGGTTGAGCGATAACGTTTTCCTTTTCTTCATCGCTATGTCCCTTTACTAATTAATAGTAGGAGTATATTGTACTCCTACTCGCAACCAAGTTAAAATGTGGACATAAGTTGAAGTTTGATCAAGTTTACAAGTGTTTATGTAGATGTATAATATAACTTAGTTAATTAGCGGATTACTGTCACAGAGAAGACGCAACACAGACACCACTGTGAAGAAGGCATCATCGAGGTTGTGTGTTGGCATCATCGTCATCACCTGTCCCCGAGAAAGCAACACCTGGCTTTGACACCGACAAAGCCCACACTGCAAAAGCCGCGAGGTGCATGCAATGACGAATCCGATAACAAACTAGGTCCGAGAATACATATCCCTGCATCGTGTAGGATCAGTGAGCTAGGACATTGCATCGTTGCCATGTGAACCTCGCCGTCACACAGCTCTGACTCCACCGCAACAAAAGTGACCACGACCTTTCCACGACAACACATGTGCAGCGAAACGCATTTGTTCCCTTCGGACGGTCCAGACTCTGAAAATGATGCCCCATTGAGGGACATGACACACAAGGCATTGTCATCATCCTACCCGGTGAAAACAATGATCCCATGTTTCCGAAGGAGCCCAGAGTCAGGGAAAAGTAGAGGAGCACAACACCACAACAATGCTTTCGAGAATTGAAGGACGTCCATGAACATTGCCGCCGCTAGCTCTTGCCATCGCTGGCAACAAGGCTTTTGCATGACACTGTTCTCACTTTCCAGCATCGGATCCGGTTGATCCACCCAGTCCTCAACACGCCACCACCGACCACCCATCTAGAATCTGTTGGCGGTGCCCAGCTCCCTCTCGCTGTCTCTCTCTCTCTCGCACGAACGAAGATATAAGAAAGAGGAGACACATGACACGGTGGTGTTTTTCCAGTGCACACACGCCTGCCGCAACGACGGCCTTTTCCTTGAGTAACAATTCGAGCCACACCCACTACACACGTATGCACACAACACACGCACACTTACGACCTGACCCGACTCCACGGACTCAACCTGACGCCCCTACGCCGGCGTGCACCGCGCCGGACTCGACCTGATGCACGCACGCCGGTTGCCTCTGTGTCCGGGTTACGGCTTATTCCCAACAGTTGGGGTCTAACCCTAGACTAACTGAATCATCCCCACGAAACTGAGCTGAAATCATCACACAACTAATAGTACATAGTCCGAGCGAGAAGTCTAAAAATTATAATCCCTCTATTTTTATTTACTTCGCGTATTAGCTTTGGTCAAAGTCAAACTTTATAAAATTTGACTAAATTTGTAGACAACTAACATATACAATAGCAATTCAGTACCATTAGATTCATTATTGAATGTACTTTCACATCATATAATTTTTTTATGATATCTATTTATATTCGTTTTTAAAAACTTGGTCAAATAATAAGAAATTTGACTTCAGTCATCTCTAATATGCAGAGTAAATAAAAACGGAGGGAGTACTATTAAGGAGGTTGTTTCTTTGCACACAATTTGGGCCAGTTTTCCCTCTTGTTTAACAAGTGAAGAAGTGAACTTTCAAAAATATTAGTGAAGAACATGGAAGAAATTTCAAGAAGCTAGTATCGGTGTATTAAGGGTACATTTGACTATATAATATGTAAGTTTAGACGGATAAACAGAAAATATTGTTTACACATTAATATCCTATCTTTCAAAATAGTAGATGTGTTTATGTTTACTATGCATATGGTTTCTGCTAATTACTATATGTGGATCGCTTTTACTCTCTCGTGGTTTAGGTTTTTAGGTTGTTCATCGTCTTTGCTTCGGTGGCGACGATGACAATGCTGAATAAAGATTCTTCGGATCCTTCCCTGACGAGGCCATGGGTCCTATGGTTGGGGATGGATTTGGAAACCAGTCAGTTCAAGCAAGGATGGCATGGTGGCGGCGGCATCCTCGTGGTGGACCTATGTCCTCGGGCTCCGCCGTTGCGACGACGTTTGCTCCAGCGTCGGCGCGGAGCTTGGGAGGTAGTCCAGGAGCGGATGCAGATTGTGGTCTGCATCGACGACATCTGGAAGACGGAGCATGTGCTGGGCTCATGGTTGGTGTATGGAAGATATGGTTTCATCCTTCGGCGTTTTAGTCATGGTGGGTCGCCAGATTTGGAGTTCGATGACGTGCCTGGGGTGTTGCCCCAGCTTGATTCGTTCAACGGGAAGGGTTTCACTTTTGGTGAGCCATCTTGGAGGTCCACAAAGCTGCATATCAGCGATGGAACCGCGTCGAGCTCAGGTGAGGATGTGATTCGTCATTCTTTTCTTCGGTGGCTGCTGTGGTGGTGCCGGAGGCAGGTGACGGGCGTTGGTGTCAAGCTCAGAGATGTTCTGCTATCTTTTCAGTTTTGTCATGTCGGTCTTTACGTGACCTGTACTCTATTCTTTATGATATGAATGAGACACGTATTACCATGCCAAAAAAAATTACATTGTCATAAATAAAAATTAGTACACGTTTCTGCCATCTACCTTGTGACAAATCATAATTATCTGTTACTACATTGTGACAAATCATATGCAAAACTGCATGGCTATTTACTACAAAAAATGGCATTACTTTTGTTAAGTAATAAATTAATACTCCCTCCATCCCATAATATAAAATGTTATGATGACCAATATACTCACATATTGGTTGTAATAACATCTAATATTATGCGGCAGAGGGAGTAATCATTGCAATTCTATTTTGTACTACAACAATGCAAAGGAAAAAAAACATGCTACTTCCAACTAACTTGTGAGAAATCAGCACCAGGAAGGTGGCAAATATAACAATTATGAGAACTGATACTATGTAGTATTAGCTTATTTATACCTTCATTATTTAATACCACTATAATTTATTTCCGTATTTGCGGAACTAAAAGTTCCATACTACCAATACATAATCATTAATAACATCTTACCTCGCCGGAAGTAATATTAGCCTAGTCATTTATGGAGTAGTATGTACTGAATATCTTGACATGTTCGATTTCGGAGAGAAACGCACAAAGTCAAGTTTTTCTTTTTAACAAAAAATAGGGTGAGAGAAACTGAAGGAAGGACACGCCAGGCCCAATCGATTTACATATTCATTCATGGGGGAGAGATTACTATGGGACGGTGCGACACACGTGGTTGGGACCTCTGCACTTGACCGACAGCGTCTAACTCGTTCACGCGTGACCAGCATTGACTAGCTGTGTACACACTCCGTCTGCTCACACATGTATACACATACACATCCGAGCAAGTACGTACGCAGCTCACTGTAGTACGACGATAGATATCTGAAGGCGACACTGGATTGTTCGTTGAATCTTGCCATAAGTAAGGACAAATTCGTAGTACAATTCCAGTACGCGATTACGCATGCTTCAGATTGACTGGGCGAGGGGCGCTGGATTGATTGATCGTGGTCTGTTCCTCCGTCGATCTGCATGCGCACGTAGAGTACAATACGGTCGCTATCCTGTTCTATGCACTTAACACAAGTGTTTCCTTACTACTCCCTCCATCCCATAATATAGGAACATTTTTAAAATAGTGTAGTGTCAAAAACGCTAACGCTGTGAGTAGTAGATATGTATATCCATTTCTTAGAGCATTTACTGCCACATATAACGGCGAAGAGCGCGTCGGACGCCACCTGTAACTGCCGGTTGGCTTCCACGTAAGCCTCAAACTGGATGGACTCCGGGATGGCCTGCTGCTCCGCCATCTCCGTGGCCTGGGCGACGGCGAATTCCGCCGCCGCCTCCGCCATGTTGAACCCATGCTCCGGGTGCTCGGCCTCGTCCTCCTCCAGATCCGCCACCTCCATCGGCTCCAGCAGCAGCTCTCCCTCATCCTCATCCGCCCGCTGCTCCTCGTCCTCCTCTGGCTCCGACGAGTCCGGAGGCAGCCCGACAGCGATGCGGGCGGCGCGCCTTGCACGGAGCTCCTCCTCGATGTGCCTCCGGCGCTCCGGCGTGAGCATAGCGTACGTGGTGATCAGCCGCCGGACCATTAAGATGCTGGATAGCGTGGGAGAGTGGGGGAGAGGAGGCGAACAGGCTCAGGTGACGATGTAGAGAGGGAGGACGTGGATAGGCTAGGGTTGGGGGTCGCTGGCTAGCTTAAATAGCCGAATTTGGCCTCGGGCT